GAGAGGGGACAGCAGAGGGCTACAGAGATGATGAGGGGCCTGGAGCATCTCTCTGATGAGGAAAGGCTGATGGACTTGGGTCTTTTTAGTCTGGAGAAGAGAAGACTGAGGGGGGATCTGACTGATGCCTATAAATACTTCAAGGGTGGGTGTCAGGAGGATGGGGCCAGGCTTTTTTCAGTGGTGCCCAGGGACAGGACGAGAGGAAACGGGCACAAACTTGAACATAAGAAGTTCCACCTAAACATGAGGAGGACCTTCTTTCCTGTGAGAGTGGCAGAGCCCTGGAAGAGGCTGCCCAGGGAGGTGGTGGAGTCTCCTTCTCTGGAGACATTCAAACCCACCTGGACACGTTCCTGTGGGACCTGCTCTGGGTGGCCCTGCTCTGGCAGGGGGTTGGACTAGATGATCTCCAGAGGTCCCTTCCAACCCCATATCATGCTGTGATTCTGTGAAATTAAACATAAAAGGGCAGTTCCTAAACTGTGTTTCAGAACAACACACTGCTCTTGCGTGCAAGTAAGAGGTGTGTGGGAAGGATGAGAGTCAAAGACCTCCTCTGAGCTGAACAGGTAAAAAAAAACTACCCTGGAGAAAAGTGAAAGGCCCAGGGGAAGGGAATGGGTGAAAAATGGTTTCACCCTGGTGAACACCTACCAAGCCACGGGCAGGGCTTATGGCTTGAGCTCCAGTACTGGTCAGCAAGTGAATTCAGCAAGTTAAACAGAGCAAAGAGCAGTGATTCTGCTCTGTGACAGAGAAGACAAATGATAGATGCTGAGATGAGAGAAGGAAGGGATGAGACGGAGAGAGGAGAAAGAAAAGCCAACCTGAAAACGCACGGGGAAGGGAGGGAGTGAAAGACCCGTGTGCTGAAAGCCATACAGAGAGGCCAACTCACAAGCCACTTGTGTAACCCTTGCTGTAGTGCTTTCCCAGACTCCTCTTAATATTTCTGTTAGAAATCTCTGCAAAGGAAGGAGAAAGAGATTTTAGAGATGAGTTGAAAGGGTTGCGTCAGACGAGGAAATGGGAGAAAGATGTACTCCACCTGCAGCTCAGCCTCCAGGGGGGCCCACCGCCGGGCTGGAAGGCAGAGCCTGCAGAGTCTAACCCCGCTCTCTCTCCCCGCCTCAGTTTATCACTACATGGTGGATATCGTTACCTGGAACAAAGACACCCGGAGAGGCACCTTCAGGGTTGTGCTAGCTGATGGAACCGGGAAGAAGGCCGAGTCTAAAGCTAATCCGTAAGTCTTACCCATCTGCTCATCTGTAAGTGTTAGCAAATCCCTCAGTACAGCTGCTCTGGGAGGAGGTGAGATTTCCTCCCCTCATTTCTCTGCTGGTGCTTGATAACGCACCTGCCTCAGGGCTCTCCTGGCCCCCTGACACCCCAGCCCTTTGCTTCTGACCCTTCCCAGTCACATTAAGGACCGAAAGGGACAATCTCAGCCAACTGCACTGTCCTGAAGGAAAAACACATCTCCCTGTCTTTCCTTCCCTTTCCTGGGAGTGTTCCAGTCCAGCTCCGGGTGCCCAAGAAAACCAGGATGAGCCTGGGCCTGAATAGCTAACACCTAAATCAATTCATCCCACTCGCAGAGGCAAATTAATGACTGGTGTTTATGCGGACATGCAAATTCCTGCTTGATCTAAACACACTTCAGCCAAACAAGTCCTGCTCGACTGGTTTTCCCCAGTGTCTCTAACCACATGTTCTCCCGGCCGTATCCGCTTTCTCGGCAGCGATTTGGGGCTGCACAGCAGGACTGACCCTGCCCTGCTGAGCTCTATGTCCCACCTGGCAGCACGCTCACACACACACACCATAAACACCTTTGGCAGGTTGAAACTTGTCCTATTTGTCAGGAAAAAACTAAAACTTCTAAACAAGGCCAGTCAGTTTGAATGCTAGAACCAGGGTACACCTGTAGCCAAAGCCTCATGCTTTGCCTTCACAAGGGGAACCTCAAACTGTGACCAAACAACCAGCTGTATAAAGCATGTGTTGGGTGGCCACAGCGTTTTGGCTACTTTTGCCCCAGTTTTCATGCATATCCCTGTCGAAAAGGACCAAAATCAAACCCCCAGCCCTGCGAGGGTTCAGAGGGATGGAGCCCCTCTCCTATGAAGACAGGCTGAGGGAGCTGGGATTGTTCAGCCTGGAGAAGAGAAGGCTCCGGGGAGACCTTATAGCGGCCTTTCAATATCTGAAGGGTGCCTATAGAAGAGCTGGGGAGGGACTCTTTGCCAGGAGGTGTAATGATAGGACAAGGGGAAACGGTTTTAAATTGGAAGAAAAAAGATTCAGATTAGATCTCAGGAAGAAATTTTTTACTATGAGGGTGGTGAGACACTGGCCCAGGTTGCCCAGGGAAGTTGTGGCTGCCCCATCCCTGGAGGGGTTCAAGGCCAGGCTGGATGGGGCCTTGAGCAACCTGGTCTGGTGGGAGGTGTCCCTGCCCATGGCAGGGGGGTTGGAACTCGATGATCTTTGAGGTCCCTTCCAACCCAAACCATTCTATGATTCTATGATTTTCCTACCCTGAGGAGCCGGGTTACTCCCCATTACTTCCAGACGACGCTGTGTTGTTTCACTGCTGCGTGTCCCAGAGGAGAACCATCAGAAATGGAGTTAGGGGCATGAACACCCCCCACCAAGGTGCAGTCTTCCATTTGTAGAACTATTTCAGCTGCACAGCGTCGTTACAAACACATTTTTAAACACACCAACCCATTCTGCAAACTCCACGGATGACTCGGTGCTCAGGTACCAACACCCTTTGGCTCGGGTCCGACTGGGACCAGAGCAAACAGCATCAGAGCTCTGTGTCCCCCCCTCCCACCCCAAATTACCCTGTGCCAAAGCAGCTGAGCAGGTGCACACCTGGAAACCTGAATCCATACCCATTTCCCTTCAGTCACAAACTAATCCTAAGTGCAGTCCTCCTCCCCCCCCAGCTCTGTTTCTAATATTATACTGAATATATTAAAAGCGGTGCTATTCCCTTGGTGACTCGCTGACACTTTGTCTGCTTTATCTTTAGCGAAGCTGCAGCCTTTCAGCAGTACAACCAAATCACTTTGCTAATTGGATTCGACCAGGACTTTGAAAACGTAGAAAGAATTTCCTTGACATTTTCCACCGGATCTGTCATTGGCCCCAAATTCAAACTCAGGATTCTCCAAATGAGGTTCCGGTCACTTACAAACCCAGAAAGGTAAGGGAGAGGTTTATAAACCATTCCTGTTGCTGCAAACTGGACAGAAGTAAACGGATCTCCTAGATTCCTGGCTGCTTTCCTCCAGAAGAATTGTATTTATTTCATATTTAATAATTCCTGCACACGTATCTTGGGAATAAATTCTGCCTTTAGTGCATGCGCTCCAATCCCGTAGCTGAAATTGAACACGGAGGCTATCTTGGGTACTGAAAACATGTAATTAGTGGTCTGATCTGACGTGGGCTGACATTTAACCTTTGGTGGGGAAAATGACCTTTGAGCAGCTACAGAGAAGCTGCCCAAGCGTGAACTGAAAGTAAATGCAGCTCTCGGGGAAATATGGGTGTCCAGCCCCAAACAGACCTCAAACCAGGACAATATCCCAGTCAATTTCTATGCCCAGTCAAACAGGGAGATTTAATTTACTCCTGGAATTCCTGTAACTGGGAGCTGCTGTGCCCCAAAGCACCGACTACTACCCACTTCAGTCACCTTGTTGACCACTCTGTGGTCCTACCCTTAAACTTCCCTGGTTTTTAGGGCACCTCTGGAGAAGGGGATCTCCACCTTTGCTCAGGGAGTACAGAATCTCTAAGATTGATCCCGTGTGCCAGGACAGCATGTGGACATCAACCACACGGGCTTTAAATTTGATGAGTACACATCACAGAGTGAGAAGGGTGGAGCAAAAAAAAGGATATAGAGCTACAGAACATGTTTCTTTGCAGTTCGTGAAGGTCTGCTACCCTTTGTCTTATTATTATTGTCTTATTATTCTAAGATTGTAATAAGCAAAGCCCTACAGCTCCCCCCTCACTGACACACCCCGCATCCTGTCCTACATCTCCAGTCACTTCCAGCCCCAGATCCACATTTCGTCTTTCTAAAAGTAGATGCAGATGCCCCAACACTTCATCAGAGGCTGCGCACGCTGCCCTAGGAGGGGCTGCCACAAGCTGCCAGAGCAGTTTCATGGCTCCTTTAACTCCATCAAGTAATCAGGCAGTGCCCCAGGGAGGCATGTCCCGCTCTCTCTCCTTCCTGGTGGCAGGGCTGATGCTCAGGTGGCCCCAGGTGAAAGCCCAAGCGGTTCCTCTGTTTTTTGGCTGGGTTAGCTCTAACCCAGGTGAATGGTCTCTGCTCAGAGCAGTGGCACGATCCCTAAAATTCCTCATGAACCGGCAATAACACACAGGTGGGCAAGGGGAGATGGACAGACCACCCCTTTGGTCACCACAGCCAGCACAGGCTGGCTTAAAGGGAACCCTGGACTCTGCAGCCACTCCCTCCCTTTGCTTGCTGTTACCTTTTTCCATGAGGTGAAGCAAAAGATAAGGTAGAACAGAACGAAAACGCACTCAAGGTATCTCTGACCTCGGTACGGCTCAAAGTCCATCTCCTTTTAGGTGGACTTCAAGCCTGTTGTCTCAAGAACACGACTTAGGGGGAGGGACTCTTTCTAGGATGAGGGGGAAGGGTTTGACACTGAAAGAGGGGAGATTGAGATGAGATATTAGGAATAAATTCTTCTCTCTGAGGGTGGTGAGAGCCTGGCCCAGGTTGCCCAGAGAAGCTGTGGCTGCCCCATCCCTGGAGGGGTTCAAGGCCAGGTTGGAGGGGGCTTGGAGCAACCTGGTCTGGTGGGAGGTGTCCCTGCCCAGGGCAGGGGGTTGGGACTGAACGGGCTTTAAGGTCCCTTCCAAACCCAAACCATTCTATGATTTATTTCACACGAGCCTGGGGGCTTCTTCAAGAAAAGCCAGTTTTCCCCTTTTGACTCGGGTTTGTTGTCTTTACACAGACCACCACTCTGCAGATATGACCTCATCCTGACGGAGAACACCCAGCAAACCTTCAAGCCCATCCCCTGTTGGAGCAGGAACTAAAACACAAAGCCATCCTTCCCCCCGAGGGCAGCCGACATTTCCACAAGGGACTCACCTGGAGGAAGGTTCCTCAGCGCCGCCCGCAGAGACCCACTCCTGGGAGGGCGGGAATTTATAGAGGGGGCTGTAAAGTAACAAAAAAACCCACAAACCAACCCAAACCGTTTATTGTTGTGTGGTTTTGGGGGCGGCGGGGCCCGCGGGGAGGCGGTTCCCTCCCGGCTGCTGCCCGCCCTCCCCTCAGCACCGCCCACAAGAGATTCACTCCTGGGAGGGCGGGAATTTATACAGGGCGCTGTAAATTAACAAAAAACCCCACAAACCAACCCAAATCGGCAATCGTTGTGCGGTTTTTGGGGCGCCGGGCCCGCCCTGAGGCAGAGGGGAGGCGGTTCCCTCCCGGCCGCCGCCGCTGCCCGCAGAGACCCACTCCTGGGAGGGCGGGAATTTATAGAGGGGGCTGTAAAGTAACAAAAAAACCCACAAACCAACCCAAACCGTTTATTGTTGTGTGGTTTTGGGGGCGGCGGGGCCCGCGGGGAGGCGGTTCCCTCCCGGCTGCTGCCCGCCCTCCCCTCAGCACCGCCCACAAGAGATTCACTCCTGGGAGGGCGGGAATTTATACAGGGCGCTGTAAATTAA